GACTTACGTTACGTTATTACGAAAATTAACGTTCTGTAATTAATATGTTTCGCGCGCTTCGCTCAACTTATGGTCAACAGAATCAACCTGCTGAATGTGCTATTCACAACACTATAACCCATTTTGATTACTAGATAGTACGAGTATGCGACCAAATATACCACGTTCAGCACGTAGTGAAGAGAATATAGCGGCTGTAGCTGAGAGTGTACACGAAGGTCCTAGAGAGACAATTCCGCGCCTATCGCAGCAACTCATACTGACGTATGAACCAACTTGGGACATTTTACGACGTGATCTAAAAACTGAAAGCGTGCAAAATACAGCTTGTAAAAGAAAAGAAGCCGCTCGACCTCCCCAAGACTTTGAAAAGCTCCAAAAAGACCCGACGATATGAGCCGAATATTGTTCAGCGGGTATGTAAACAAACAAAATTGCCGCCTTTGGGATGAAAAGTCAATGGTGACCGTTATCGTTACATGGCAACCGCCTATTTGATGCCTGAAATTGAAGATCATGATCTCACCGTCATTTGGTTTCATCAAGACGTCGCCACTTCCCACACATCGCAACAATCAATAAATTTATTAAGAGAACACTTGGTTGAGCATATAATTTTATGTAAAGTCTAAAATTTTACTCAATGGATGGACCATCTGAGAAGAAAGAACTTTCTGTGTTTTTTCTTTAAAAAGGTAGGGAACCTCGAAATGGATCACTTTTTACAATATAATACTTTCGATAAGGTAGTTCTCTTTTCTCACAAAAGGAAGATATTTTTATATGAGAGTTGCATCTTTTTAAAGATTTTCGAAGTTCTTAATTTTAAAATTCAAAATATTTAGCTGTTAGTAGTATTGGGAAATATTTAGCAACTTTTTGAAAAATCCCTTAAATACCTTTAAATTTTATGGACTAATTTGCCTTCAAACAGGCAGGTAGATATATTGTAATCTACTTAGCTCTTTATTTCCATGCAATTGAATTAGCGTGCGTCAATGCCTCCTCTTTTGATACTGTTATAAAACTTCCTATATTTTCAATACAATGACCGTGAAAAGCATATGGCCGATGAGTTCCGCTGTCATATGACGAAAAATGCAATTCATAATTTTTTAAGTTATTTTTGATATTAAATTACATTTAAAAAATACTATAATTCTCCTCATGAATATAAATATATTTATTTTTTCTTTCAAACTCGTTTATTTTTGCTTAGGAGAAGATGTGTTTCAGTCAGGTTTTTCTAATCCACTTTTTAACAAATGATGGATTTTTATGGGGAATTTTTATCTCATGTCACAAATAAAATCCTAGTTAATACTATAAGAACAAAATGATTTTATGATAAATTTTATACAATTTTTAATTTTGGTCACGTGTTTCCTCACTAAACTTTAACAATATTTCTCCTACTACAATTGGCACCAACTGAATGACCGCTGAGCCAAATATGTTTTTTTTCGTCCTCACATAACTCCGTTCGGCGCCGACATTCTGTTGCGACACTCTAAAAAAAAATAGTTTTTTTTATTTCCACTTACACTTTTAGTAGACAAACTTTATGTGCTGTTTTTATGCATCTTGTTTTGGGCTACTCCAATGCCTTTATCGCTGCAACTATCTCCCACTACACTTTTGGTATTGCAAAATTTTTCCCAATTTTTGCCTGATGTGCATTCATCTTTATGTCCGAAGTTTTTGTCTGCTCTTCGTTCGGTTCATTTATAGCTGCGTTTCTCTCTCTTGTTTTGGTTTTTATGTTCATTTATTTACCATTGCTTGTTGTCTTGCCATGCGGGTAAAATGCAGGCCCAATAAGTGTGTATGCATGCGAGTAGGTAGTGTGTATGTTTGTAGTAATTTAGATAGACGAATGTGCTTACGTCGGCGCCAAGTCAATGATTGTCTGGCGTCGCTGACCGCCACCGTTGTCCAAACGATAGTATTCTGCGCTTCTTACCACCCCTCCCTCCAAGAGTCTATCAATGTTGTCAAGTGTCTAAAGTTTATTTTCATGAAATTTCTCTATTTACGGCTGATGAAATACATACATACATATCTGCACACCGGCCTTTCTTGCTACAACCTAACCATGTTTTTTCAATTTCCTTTTCATCCAAATAAATTTTCATACTATTTTTTGTCTGCATTTTTCAGTTTTTGTGCAACTTTTTTGGCTTTTACCGTCACAAATGGTCAATTTGAAACGAATGTTGCCATGACAAAATGATGGAGCGACAGTTGGCGTCGATCGTTCTTGAGTTCAACCATATTCGGTTACTCATGTTTGTGTACGTGTATTTGTATGCATGCTCTTAGAGGCGTTGACGGTAGCGCTGTTTATTTATAACTTTTCCCAAGTATTTTGTTTGTTTGCTTTTGCTACTTGCAGTATGCAATATTGAAGTGCTTAAGTTGCTCAGCACGTTGCCGAAAAATACATTAGCAAAATATGCGCGTAGTTCATTGACTGAGCACATACTAATTTTTTTTAGTTTATATTTGCGAGCTATTTCCTAGCGCACAACGTGAGTACTCCATGCACACGTGAAGCATATACTTTACGCTGGTGATAGAGCAATCCAGAAGTAACCGCAATTCAAACATAAAATTTGGTCCAATTAATATTGCGATGTCTCAGGTCTGAATCTTATACTTCATCTCTGCATAACATCCGAGTAATCTATGGAGTACTCATGTAGTACTGACTTGAATCTACCTGCAGCACTTAATACTAAATAAGTTGGTGCCTTATGTAACAGTTATCCTTCAATACAAAGGTACCTTTGCGGGAGGTGCCACACTATTTTCAGATTGGTTATCTACATTTTCTACTTGTAAATAACTAACATTTCCTATTCGTTATTTTTATTGATTTCGGCTGCGATAGTCGGGAGATTAGAACTACTTAGTGCCATTCTAAAACTCATTGTTCGGATCCTCGTTCAACCTACATTCAAAGATATTTTTTTTAAGGTATCATAGTATAAGCTCTAGATCCCAAAAATTGCTTCAGCGGCTACAAAGCACCTAAATGGAAGTATCTACAATCGCTTACTACTTCTCACAAATTTTTACGATCTGTTGTGGAATTTCATTTTAATGAAGCTCCAACCATCAACCATGCGGAGGCGGCTTTCCATTTCTTGGAAATACATCTAAGCGGAGGGTAACAAATTGGAGAAGGAGCTCAATCACAATGAATTACTATCACACCGAACTAGCTGAAAAAGGGAACATTTTTATTGCTTTAATCCAGAGATGCTCAACTAACGAAAATATTTGGTGCTACTTCGGCGCCCTGTTACCAAATAAAAAGAAATTGGTGCGTTAATTTTAAAATGGCTGATTTGCTACGATTTAACAGCACACTACAATTTTAATGTTTAACATTATCTGTTAACATTCAGCATTATCTGTTAACATTCAGCATTATCTGTTGACGTTTAACATTTTTTGTTAATTATTTAACATTAGAAGTTTAGCTAAGAGGTTTAGGGAATCTTTGAAAATATCTTGGGTAAAATCTTCTTAAGTGAAGGTGTCGGGACATGAAAATTTGTTTTTATTCAAAATATCAGGGAAGGTTAGTTGAAAATGAAAACTAATAGCCAGAATAACAATGCCTTATATAGATATAGCAATATCGAACAGCTTAGCTATCAAGCTTCTTTTCATAATAAATGAACGTTATCGGGCTTCATGCCTCTAACTCTGGGAGCTATCAAAAGTTACATAACTGAACAAAAAATGAAGAGATTATTAGAAACATTAAGAGATTATAAGAAATACAAATATATTTTAATTATTAATTTTAAAGATTAAATATTTTAAATCTTTGCTGAGACATGCAGAAAAAATATGCGCAATATTTTAGCTAAAATATTCCTTTTTTAATTAGTTCACAAAAACATTTAAAATAAATTTGGTCTATTTTTTTGTATATAAAAGTACTTTTTTATTAAAAAAGTAGAGACCTTTTCTCATCTCTCTGATAATTTTTTAATACTATCTTTAAAAAATTGGTCTTGATCCAATTAGGCTGAAAGCTATTCTTCGATTTCTTTGAAAGATCTAAACCGGTGATTACCCAAATGGTGATTGGTCGGAAGGAGCAATGGTTTTAGAAGCTCATAGTATACCATACCTCTGGTCTCACTGGGTTCTTTTGTCTTTGACCTTAAATTCACCACTTTTGAAGGGTCAAAAAATTACTGAACTGCATGGCATATCGATCGGCGCAGATTCATCATAAACTTCCACAATCGTTCGATGAGCTGTAGCTGAAGTTTTCTTCCAATTAACATTTCAAGCCAAAACTTTCCCCAAATGATGTTGTTTTCAATACAAATCCAGACATTTTTGAAGAGGTAAAAACCGAAAAAGAAGCTGATAGACAATAATTATTGTTGACAGGGGAAAAAATTTTCAAGATCGCCACCCTTTGTGAACAAACTAATTTAATTTGTACCCCAATATCTTTCTTGTAAATATATGAAATACATTAACTTTAGTCCGAAGTATATAAGTATTAGAAGGAGAACCGATAGATCCATTAAAATATATACCGATCACATCAAAATGATAAGTTAAGTCGATTTGGCCAATCTTGGTACGCAGAAGCACCGGTACATTTCCACGATCATTTGTCGGTAGCTGAAAGATCAGACCAGTAAAACATATAAACGACCACAAAATAAGCATCTAAGAGCGATAAATTCGGTACTATGCACAATGATACTGAAAATTAATGCAACAGAAAGATCATAACATACAGGTCCTTTACACCGATTTTTCCAATATGAGGCTATCACCGTCATTCTGCATACGTACATATACGACTATACAAATGAAAACCAGTTTTTCAGTTGTGAAAATTAAATTTTAATCTTAAAATAAAATACCATAAAATTATTATGATAAACAAATTTATAAAGATTTCCTCTCTTCTTTCTTGTATTGAAAAATTAAATTTGTAAAAACTCAACGACACTTACCAACAACTTCCAATTCACCAGCTGAGATTTCTGTGTGAAATGATGGCGCATCGGCTGACACTTCACAACTGTATTTGCCAGTGGTGGAGACCGTAACCGAGTCCAGAACCAATTGGCTTTCATTCGATGCAGAACGCTGTAATGAGAGAATGCAAATGAAAACGAATATTAATAAATTTAATTGTATACTGAAAAAAAGAAACACCGCATTAATGTGACTTTGTGTTTTTCGTAAAATAAAGAAAACTGAGAAAATATTGAGAAAATTAATTAATTTCACAAAAGGAGATGATGAAACAGTAAGTGTTGCAAAGAAAAAACAAACTGAAGCATATATGAAAATATATTTAAGTGTAAGGTGGAAAATGGGAAATTCAAGTAGAGAAAATGAAAAATTAATGGCCGCCAATATTGCATAAAAAATATTGTGAAGAAGTGAAAAGGAAGTGTCAGCAAGCAAATGAAGTAATTATGAATGGCATGCGCACAGTATAAGACTTCGACCTGGGCTATACCGTTGGCCGCAGTACTCAGGGAATTAAATATGGATAATATGAAAGTTGATTTCCATTTCGAACATTTTAGTATGGCAATTGTAAGCGCCACAATATCGTTAATATTACTTTTTCGCTTCATGAAGACATAAAGACGTAAATAGAGAAAAGGTGGTCACTTACAGCGAAAGAAATGTAATTTGTGAAATATTTATTATTTTTAATTATTTTGGCACATCGCAAACATCTTTTTAAGATCGACTGCATGCAAGAGCGTTAAATTTTTGGCGCTCTTTTGCTTTTTTAACGAAGCCTTTGGCAGTTAAGAGGGGACAAGGCGATGGAATTTGTGAGTTGAGAAGCAGTTAATTTAAGTTTTGTTAAAATTTTTTTAATTTAATTAAATTAAATGAAGCAGTCTTACTACGACTGTTTGTTGAAAGGGGAAGCTGAGATCCTGACGTCGAGCAATTACACCAAAATCATTGAGTATTCGAGTTATTTGTTCAAAACATTCATATTCATCTAATAATCCACAATATCATAAGGCTGCAGGTGGATAAGTGGTCAAAGAAATTATGCTAATCAGCTAAAGACCAGGCACTCGCAATGACAGTAATAAAGCGTTTTGCTTCCTTCCTTCTGAAGTATTTTCGTGTTATCGGACAACATGACGTAGACTGTGTAACCACTATCTGCTGATTCGTTAAACTAGGTCAATGGCTTCGTATACCTCGTACAGTTAATCGTTCCCCCGAATTCACCACTATATATATATATAGCTGGCGCTTTATAACTGCTGAAGCGATTTTCGGCCGAGCTCCTCCTCTAATCAACTTTTTTCAAACAAGTCGAGGGACCTACAGTTTATATTAAGCTGCCTTCGAACGGCTGATGGTTTTTTAGGACGAGCCATTATTTCATTTCAGGAATACACTCGGAGGGGTTGACATTCCCTGCCGAGAGGCCGCAATCAGAAAAATTAGCTAAATTTTTGTGATTAAAATAATTTTCTATAACTTTTTGGATGTTAGTACGACATCAAGATTTGAACCTGAGCCTTCCAAATGGCAGTACGCAATGCTAACCACTCGGCTACCGCGGCCGCCGACTGCAGTTCTAGAGGGCTATAAATCTGTCGGAAATTCTTTCTCTTGTGTAATATTTAATGCTAACTTTAATGCTTCATGAAATGATGGGACACCTGTAGAGTCTGGTATTTGTTCATTGAGATAGGGTAATATTTGTTAGTATAAAATAGCACCCATTGCCAAGAGAGATTATGCGTTGGACTTCAAGGGTGAAACTGCTGTTGGTGTTCATGCTGTTTCCAAGATAGGCGAAGTTATCTATGACTTAGCTAGAACTGTCAAGAAGAACATGATGATGTTGTTTTGTCTTGTCCTCGTTCACTACGAGACCCACACCCTTCGTTTATAATCTAGCCTAGAAAAGATTGTACCTTCTCTATTGAACGAGTCACTTTGTCTGAAACCTTCTTTAGTGTCAGTTTATATAGCCGTTTAACTGTACGCGGTTACCACATCCATATATAGGAGCACTGAGGTAGTTCGTTTTCCTTTGAAATGAAAGAAGAGGAGGTGTGTGTAGATTCTATTTTCGCGGGACTTTTTCAAGATTTGCTGTATGGTTGATAGTTGGTCAATGAAGCCACATTGATAAGGTGCAATTAGATTGTTGACTGCAGACTTTATTATTCGGACATATGCGATCTTAAGTAGGCTTATCTTGTGCAAATTGGCACAGACACAATTAAGTTCTATTTATCGGTTATGCTTTCGTCCGACAATATTCTGCAAAGAAGCTGATGCGTGCACTTTGTCAGTTCTTCGCCATCATCATCGATTGGAGTATCGGGTTCGCCATCTCCTGGTGTTCTACTTCAGCACAGCAGGATGAATATGTATTCTCTCCCCATATTTACCATATTGTGGACATCAATCGCTTGAGTTCTATAACAATCTGCTCCGGTCATGCGAATTTCAGCAAGTCACCTCATCTTTTACAGAAATATTGGATCATTACCTCTGTGGGAGAGCTTCTTAAGCTCTTTATGCTAACGTATTTCTGTTTATTTCTGTTTTTATCTGCATATGCGTCTATTTCCCCCTTTTACTCTCGGCAACTATCACACCCTACGAGTATTGGTCGACACGTCAATCCACTTCGTAGCAGCTCATCTTTTGAACTTGTCAAAAACCAATAGCTGGGTTTGTAGGCTGGGAGCTTGAAATACCGTACAACAGTTCCCGTATATAAAATTACTGATGATGGAGAATATATTAGCGTCATATGGAAAGTTGTTCGGCAATCTGTTGAAATTGTAGCTTTTTACCCCGAATGTTCCTTGGAGCTGGTTTCTATGTGAAAGGTCCCAAACCCAGTTAACAACCTCTCTAGAAGAGTATGTTTAAATATTATATATACTTGGCGCTTTTTAATCGCTGAAGCGTTTTTCCACCGAGCTCCTCCTCCAAGTTGTGGTTTTGCGTCTTGATGTTTTTCCAACAAATGGAGAAACCTACAGTTTATACTAAGCCACCTCCGAAGGGCTGATGGTTTTTTATGAGCAGACTTTATTTCAGGTCCGAAATATATATTCGGAGTGATGGACATTACCTGCTGAGGGGCAACCACAATTAGAAATTTTAATTTAATTTTTTTCTATAAATTAATTATCCATAATTTTTGGATGTTGGTCGCAGGGAAATTTGAATACTTCCTTCCGAATGACAGTACGCAATGCTAACCACTCGGCTGCCGCGGTCGGCAATAATTAAATATTATACACGTTTATAAAGCAAACCACTTGCTTCAAGACTATTTTTCCTGCTCGTAGCCGCATTTTTTGAAAAAATTTATTTATATAATTCTACTGCCAAGGTGACAACGATTTTTTTTACGTTTGTCGTAGCCTTATTCTTCTTTTTTGACCATGAAAACAGTCCATAGATCTCTTAAATATTAAAAATGGTGAAGTATCAAGTCCAATGTTTGCTTCAATGGCAGTGCGGATGCACGTTAGGTGCAACATTGTGTTCGATATGTGAATCTCTTCTCATCCATATACCTGCATACATATGTATATGTACATATATGTTATTCTGGCTCTTTGGCAAATTTGCGATGATTGCAAAAATGAATTATGTTTGCACGTTTGGCTGCACTTCATTCGCTTTACTCGCTTGTACATAAGTTGCTTTGTGTGCCGAAGCTAAATGCATGCACACGAGAATATTAATATCTGTGTGCTAGTTCACTTGTATATGAGTGACTCTGCATACATAAATTTGTTCACTATATGGTGCATTAGAATTCCTATTGGATTACTCCTCAATTTAATCAACGTGAAGATTACATAGAGTAGTCCAAAGCTAACCAGAATCCATTCAAAATATTATAGTCCGGCCTTTGGATCATATACTCCACCTCTGAATAGCATGCGTGTACTTCATAGATTACTTCAGGAAATTAGTTTTGAAACTATTCCACAAAATTACTCCATAAGCTGACAGCAAGATGTGAGTTGATCCACTACAAAGAAAAATATTTTTAATTACACCAATTGATCATATGGGCTACAATTATTTTCAGCTTAAGCACAAATAAATATATTTGCAGAAATATTTGCCCAGTAGGAAGTTGTTAGGCCTTTGAAGTAGAGAGGTAAAGTAAGAACTGTGTCTTTGATGACTGTATTCAGCGGTGAAAATTGCCATGCCAATGTTATAGCAAATGTAACCAATTCGAACTCCTTTCCTCTGGTATCTAATTTTGTATGGCATATTAGAGAACCACTAGTTCGCCTCTTGCATATTTTTAATTAATTATTTACTACAGAAGAACAATGCCTTAAATTATTCCATTTTCGCAATTTAATATGAATGTTTGCTATTTTTGAATAACTTTTATTATTTAAATAATAATTAAACAAAAACGAAACTAAGCGAGGGACGAGGGGTTAGACTGCAAAATATTTCTTATGGTAATTAGTTTATGAAAATTCATAATGGAAACCAATAAATTACATTTTCATTGAATATTCGTTGGAACTTTAAACGTCATTAAACATAATAAGTATTACATTTCATTAAAAAATATTTGTAAAATTCTTTCTCCGTTATGACGTGGATACTTTTCTAATTTCTTAAAATAAAAAATAAAAAAATGAACGAATTCGTTCATATTACAGCTGTGAGCGTTCTCCCATGTTGGAATATTCAAGTACTACTGGTGCTTTTGTACATCAGCTATAACAATAACTATTTATGTAAGTAAACTAGCGCACTTAATAGTTGTAGGTTAATGAGAAATTGAATAATACAACAACAGATTATATGGCTGATGTTGACGCGATGGTAGAGCACTCGCCTGTTAAGTCAAGATTCGTTGGTTCGATCCCCGCCATACGAAGTCTGATGAGAAGATGTGGCGAGCTCCAAAATAGCTGTCACTTATACCATTTTACTTTGTTGTAGAATCAAAAAATTCAACTCATGGTAAATAAGAGGCCTTTGTTTACTTAATACTTATAACCAAAATTAATATAGTATGACCGCAAAAACAATTATGATAAACTGCTTTATTTTAATTTCAACTGACATCTGTTTTAGCAGGATAT